CTACTCTCTGCACTGTGGTTCAACCAAACACCCCTCAACGTGACTTTACAGAAAAATAATTTAGAAGAAAAATAACAACGAATATTGATCACTGGTGGAGCACCATCCATCTACCCTGCTCAATAAACGATGCAGAATTCTTAATGGGAAATGGGCACATTATCACCTAATTGAAGTCTATTATAAAGCCTACACACACAGGAAGACAAATTAAGGCTGTGAAAGCTTTGCCTTGGAGTATCGTAATATGCAATATTAGCATTCGTTTTTAATGATTTTCTGGTTTAGTATTCAACACACCACCAACGCATGTCAGAATGTGAACAAAATCAGGCAGGTGTTATGAGACAACATGCTTTATAGGCTAATCAAAGTCAGGCTTAACATAAAGCAAGCGATATATCACCTTACCTGGCGTGTAAAGCAAGACATCTATTGCCTGTGGAAATGTCTCACCAGCTGAGGGGTTGATCTTGTGCTTTAATGTCTCCGAAGTTGTTTTGGGGACCATCATAGGCACTAAAATAGATTTTTAAAAGGCTATGAAGTGCGCTCTTAGGCCTGAAAGAGATCTACAATTCTCATGAAACAATAATTGCGCGCCATTTATTCACTTTTGTTTTCCTCTAACCTTCGCCGACTAGGAGAGCCCAAACACCATTTGGATGGATTCTGGTGCCAGAAGTACACACACAACACCCGAGCCAACAACTTGAACAAAAACCCAGCACCCAGTAGGGACACAGATGCAGCAGCTAAGGTTCTGAAGCAAAGAAGCAAAAAGTAATTTAAAAAAAGAAAATAAAAAAAGGAAGCCCTAGGCCTTATATATATACTACTTAATAAATATTTCCACAGATAACCAGTTTGAAAGCTGGAATAGAAACAGGAAGAACCGAGGCAGATGATGCAACAGGAGCAGGCTTTCGAGTGTTGCTACATGACTGACCTTCGTTCTTCATCCTGTCAAAATAAGACAGTTTCGAGGCCGCGTATATGGCTTTGGAGGACTGGAGGGCACCGACCACAGCATCCATCAGGAGAACATTTGTCAGCGCTTGCTGAATGTACTGAGGATCCTAAAGACAAAAGGCTCGTCGTCATTTACCTGTAGCTTGTTACCCTTGCAAGTCTCCAGCAATCACACCACGCAGCAAACTTTAGTCATGGCTTAAATGGTTCAAAGCCTTCCTGAAGGACCACCCAGCCAACTGTTCACCATTAAATTCAGCAGTCCTGACAAATTATGTGGTTTAAGGGTTCCAGTGTGGCAAAACTCTTCCCACGCATTTGATTTCAAAGCAAGGTGGGGAAAGTTTTCTGTTAGGGTCGCTATTCTCACACGGCACCAGCTTCAGAAACTATTTCACAGAACTAGTGACTAAATTAAAAGTTCTGCACCAACGGATGAGAAAAAAAATCCTCTATTTTTAAATGTAATATATTTTTTCTTGTTTTTAAAAAATTATTCCAGAAGTAACAAACTTTTTTTAAATGTTCCATCTAAATATGTTACTTAGATATTGTTTGCTGAAACACAGAAATTCTGAGATGAATGCATGAATTACTTAGGAAAGAAAGCACATATTTCATACTTCTTGGGTCAGAAACTCCCATATTTATACCTTGTGATCATCTGCCATTTTCTTTCCAGCCCACATTTCTTTCACTATCAGGTGCCACAGATCACACTCCGTTTTAAGGTTAGCTTCAAACACTTCTTTTTTAGATAATGTTTTAATCCTCAGAGTAGGTATTCTCAAAAGAAGGAAAGACACGGTCGTGCTCTTAACATCCTGGAGAGGTATGAAAAAAAAAAAAGAGGATGTACCATGCAATCAGAGATAAGGTGCAGCCCTCATTCCACAAGGCAACCTTCTCTATTTCCAACTACAGCTAATTCCTTCAGCTGCCCGTTACACCACCATTAAGCAGAGATGGTTTTATAAAAACGTGAGCTCCAAACAACATCACATGGACTTTGCTTCAGACAGTGGATACAAGCTGACTTGCACAGTCATCTTATTACATTTCTCTAGCTTTGTAGCCCAGGTGCTGCACTTTGCAGCTGTTCAGCTCAGGGTTATGGACTCTAGATTTTTATTCCCTTCATCTTAGCACCCAGCGAACTACTACATCGGCTCTGAGATTTTTGGTCCAGTGCCTCACTTTGCACATTCCTGTTCAGCTTAGGGTTATGGACTCTAGATTTTTATTCTCTTCATCTTAGCACCCAGCAAACTACTACATCGGCTCTGAGATTTTTGGTCCAAATCCAGAGAAAGTTATCTAATCATTCCTAAGTTACTGACTTCAGACCACACCTGGAATGCTGTGTCCAAGTTTGGGCTCCCCAGTTCAAGAGAGACAGGGACCTACTGGAGAGAGTCCAATGCAGAGCTACGAGGGTGATCAAGGGGCTTGAACATCTCTCCTATGAAGAGAGACTGAGAGAACTGAGGCTCTTTAGCCTTGAAAGGAGATGGCTCAGAGGGGACCTTATTAATGTATAGAAATATCTGAGGGGTGTGTGTCAAGAGGAAGGGGACAATCTCTTCTCAGTGGTGCCCAGCAACAGAACAAGAAATAATGGGTTTAATTTAGAACACAGGAAGTTCCACCTCAACATGAGAAGAAACTTCTTTACTGTGAGGGTGCCGGAGCCCTGGCACAGGCTGCCCAGAGAGGGTGTGGAGTTTCCTTCTCTGGAGACTTTGAAAATCAACCTGGACACATTCCTGTGTGGCTGCCCTAGGGGATCCTGCTCTGGCAGGGAGTTGGACTAGATGATCTCTAGAGGTCCGTTCCAACCCCGAACATCCTGTGATTCTACAATTCCTTACTGAAAATTCGAGTTTTTGCAGAATGACACAGTGTCTCTATCCCCAGGCACACAAGAGAACAAGAAGCTCCTCGATGCTCACCTCTATATCCCTGAAAGCAGCAATCTGGACATAGCCAGGACGTCCTCCTTCGGTCAAAAGGAACAAGCGTTTTTGGGTCAGAGCAATTTTTCCTACACCATAGTTAGTTTTAACTGAACAGGATAACTTGTAGACACATTCATTTTTATCTAGATGCTCTATTACTGTTGGTGGCAGGTTCACTTCTTGAGCCTCCGCTTCCGTTTCTTTCCAGTAGTTGTAGAAATCTCTGAATGTTTCAGGATCAATTTGTTTCTGATGCCCTAAAAACCCCCCCAAAATTAAATCTGTTTACTGTGAGAAACTATTGTACAGATTCACATGGAAAGATAGCTTTAAAAAGACATTAACTTTCAAATTATGCCTTTAACAGCGTAACAGATAAGCAAGGTGCAAAACTAAGAAAAAAAGTAGGTCTGGAGAACAGTTAAGAGACGAAATTCTTCTCTTGACATAGAAAGATTCCTCTGCATTTAGCTGAGGTCCTATGTATTTGGCATACTCCCTTCCACTGCTCTCTGTGGAGAGAGGGAGCAAACACTGTGCCAGTCTTGCTAGTTTAAATTCATGCCAAAAATCCAGGTCAGCCAACAGGAAAGGATTTGTACTTCCCCACTGAACCGAATGCTTTTCATTATGACTTTCGGTCCTTTATTCTATTCATTGCTACTGTACAACACACTCACCAACCTGGGATAAAAGAGAAAGTTGGAGCAGTTAAAGACTTTGGCAAGGGGTATTCAAAGTAATTAATTACACTAAGAATGCAAGTGGCTGGACAGGAGAATCTCAAACACCAATTCTTGTGCAATGCGCGCTACCTCTGGCTTGAGAAAGCCTTGCTATTTCAACCAATGTTTAATTCTTTGTGACCTCCAGAAACATGACAGTTATTAGCACAATGAGGCACTGAAAGAGAATCAAATAGCATTTTATAAAGAAGCACTCTCAACCTACGTTTCTAGAAATCAACCACAAGATTCAGATGTCATTCAGCAGGGAAGCAAGTTCTCTCCAATATAAAACACAACCATCTACAAGGAATTTAACTGTAGCTTCTTGAATGACGGATTTTCTTAGTTTATTTTTGATGGACTGTCCCCTTGCCATGTTGCCTAGTGGGTTTATAACACAGAGGTATTTTCCAGTAGGAATTCGGACAGTTTTGCATTCACTTCATTCATAAGCTAAGACAAAGTAGAACAGCAACATCATCAGATCACAAAACTACCTCACCCACACAACATGAAAAACTATAAATTATGTGCCCAAATAGAAGCAGATTCCTTGTCTTTATTGTGCATGCAAGTACAGACATCCTTGTATGCATTAAATCTATTCTCCGTAATCATCCTAGTTCAACGAAAATCTCCATAAAGCTCAGATACTGTGAGTTCTTAGAGGCCCAGCAAATGCTGAATAATAATTAATAAGAAAAACAACTGGACAAAAATATGACCTTGGTTCCTTAAAAAGAAAAAAGGTTTAAAACTGTCATTGCACCAATGCAGATGGTCTCTAAAAACATATCTTATACTCACCCACTGTTAGGGCATCGAATAACCGATGTATAGTATCTATATCTCTGACAATCCCAGATTCCTGGATTCGCTTCACAAAATCATCCAGCTGCATGTGGGTTTTTGGCAATTCGAAATTTTTGACGTGGTCATCTATTTTCGTGACTTCTCTTTGTTTTTCCATCACTCGGCTTATCAGCTTCTTCAGCTCAGGTTTGCGGTCTGCTTGCAACCGCTCCGGAGGAGGCATGGTTTCCACGATTTTTCTTACAAGATCAGTAGGGAAAATTCTTAAGTCTGTTTTATCTAGGTTCTGAAAGTCAGAAAGTGCATTTAGTAGTTTCCCTTGCATCAGGCTAATAAGTCCCCGGAGGTAGAAGTACCTTGCCAGCAACGCTGAGTTATCAGGCGGTAAGGTATTTATAGCTTTGCTGAGGTGGTTGAAGAAGTCTGTGTAGTAGGAGTGAACACACTGGAACATCAGAGGAAAATGAATTTCCGGGATTTTGAACGTATTGACTGCTTTGGAGGGCATTTTCACAGCTAAAAAACAACCAAAAAAAAGCACACTGATTAGCATAAGCAGCAAGTCAAAGCCACAATGGAACAAAGAACAAAATGAACAGCACCAAGCAATTACATCACGTGAAATTCAGGATTATGGTTGTGCTAGTGACAAATATATTTCTATGGCCATCAGCCTTATTCTCAGAATATTCCCTAAGGTGATAATATCAATTTGGGGGGGAAAAAAAAGTTAATAAAAAGAAAAGGGAAAATAGCTCCATGCAGTTTCTATAGGACTTGTTTTGTTCAACAGTGATAAGTCAAAGCCTTTAAAGGTAGCGGAGAACTGGGCATGAAGAGGGTGAGGAGTGAACACAGTGACTGACTCAGGAAGCAGTTCGTTGGTATCAATTCTATCAGGATCAGACTGATCTGACGTGCAAGGAGAAGCCCAGATGGGCCCCAGCTCACCCTGAGGGTGGTGAGGCACGGGCACAGGTTGCCCAGAGAAGCTGTGGATGCTGGAAGTGTTCAAGGCCAGGCTGGATGGAGCATTGAGCAACCTGACCTGGTGGGAGGTGTCCCTGCTCATGGCAGGGGGGTTGGAACGAGATGATCTTTGAGGTCCTTCCCAACTCAAATCATTCTATGATTCTAAAATTTCTTTTCTGGCACCGCTTCTGTGAAAATTATTCTGTGGTGCCACTCATAGAGACAACAGAAAAGACGCTGCATTTGTTCAACACATTCTTCCCTTACCAACTCCTGTTTCTATTCTTCGAAGTGAAGAATTTCTCGTAGGGCCCTCTGGCAGCTTAATATCCTGCAGGTTGGGCATACTGATTACCATACGCCTACTAATCCCGTGCTGTGGATCAAATTGTTTAGAAGCCATCGTCAGTCTTCTTGGAGTATGAAACAGCAAGTTTAATCTAAAAAATAAAAATAATGCACATCTGATTTTCAAACTCAGAAGACGCACACGCTAAATTACTACCCAATTTTTATTATTTGTTTTTATAATAGTATCAAATCACAATTATAGTACCAATTTACAATTTCAACAGCTGTGGCTGGACATGTTCATATCACTCTTTTACAGTAATCTTAATAAAATGGCTTATCAATTAGTCATGACCTCATTCATAGGTGACCTGATCTCACACCAGTAGTCAAAAGGATTTTTATCACTGATATCAGCAAAAGATTCAAAACCAGAATAAAGAATAAGAAACTTTACCTATCCTCTTCAGACTGGGTACTCAACTCGAGTCGAGCAAATGCATCCATCTTCCTGTTCAGACGAGCTTTAAGAAAAGAGTGAAACATGTAGGTCTCTAAAACCTGCGAGACACAAACCGGTTAACTGTGCATCGTTTACAAATGACGTATTTGTTAGCATGCTTTGCTCCTTTTTAATACCCTTACGCATGCAAAGCTGGTAACTTCCAACTGAGCAAGCACAAACCCAAAAACACCCGAAAGCTCATCAACAGAAAACCAACTCCATTTCCATTCACCTTCTTAACTTTCACGATACCCACTTAGCAGCAAATAGCAATCACACATCACCCTCTAAAAGATAAAATCAAACAAAAATGAGAAACACTGAGCAAGCCAGGAAGTTTTGGCTCCAAGTTTAATGGTCTATTTTCTGCCTATAATTAAGTGCTGATAATATCGTCTATGGTTTGGAACAAGAAGTTCACGGCACTCTAAAAATCAACATTAAGCCATCAAGCTGAAAAGTCAACCTTTTCTCCTGGTAACCCCCCAAATTATTCTCTGCCCAGGTAATTATCATGGTGTCATCCAGAAATCATTTCTGAAAGGTCAGATTGCTGTTTGTAGGAGGGAGGACACCACGAAAAAAATGCCAAAGCGTGAATTAAATAGAGGGGAAAGCTATCGCCTTCCCATCATCGCCACAGGGAACAAGACGAAAACCAGCATTTGAGGCAGCACACCACGTGTACTATAGAAATGTCAGCTCTAGCATCAGGTTTTTGGTATTATTTGAAATAATTCAGAAATCCAATCTGTTCAGCAAATCAAATGTAAACTTCAACAGGAGGCAATTTTGTCATAACCGGGAATCCTGTCTTTTCCTCAGCCTTTACAAAGAAGATGGTTGTGCCTTTGAACATAACTGCAAAAAATTACTTTGATTAATGATATATATCCCAGAGGCTTGCTTGAAGCACCCTAACAAAAACTAACAGTCTTGGAGTTTATCCCAGGACAAAAAAACCCCAACACAACAGCCCATCAAACTCACTGACCAGGGTGGTTTTTTTAAAAAAAAAAAGAGCAAGATTTGTAAGTGCTCTGAAAATAATGGAAATGTTTCACCAAAAAACAGGTCGTTCTTACTCAAGATGTCTCTTATCAACCCGTTTGCAACATATCCTGTAAAACGGCATCTACAAAAGCATTTCTGCTGCTAAGAGTTTCTCCAGTAGATGGCAGATTTTGTTGGCAATTGCATGTGCAGGAGAGAAGCTGGAGGAACTAATCGATTCCGTTCTGTCTGGATTTCTTTTAATGTAATTCCAGATACAACTAGTAACTACTCCAGATTGTGCTAGCTTCTAAGATTTACTCGAAAGCAAACCTGCTACTATGTTACTCAGTATTCAAGCACGAGTCAACTGCTCAAAGCTCTTCTTCAATGTGCACACTTGAATTTCGAATGGATGTGAAATTGCAATTCGTAGAACTGCCACTATTTAATTTAGCATCAGAAACTGCTAAGGAACACGCTTTAATTCCTTTTACTGATTTGAAATCCTGGTCAGAACATTTCCAATTAACTTCTTTCTTGTTGACATATTAATAGTGTTTGGTTTTTCTTAATTTTTCCTTTTTGTTTCGTCGGTTTTAAGAATGTTTGCTAGCGTTGGAAGCTTTATTCTAGAAACGCTATTTCCTGTTTAGGATTCATCCATTCGCTCTGAATTGCCAGACACTCTGCCAAGTTCGGCAACTACTGCTTAGGTAGAACAAGATGCTTTTCTTATTATTTCCTTCACACGCTGACAACTCCTTTAAAGGCACGTTCAGCAACTTTTTTTATCATATGCCTGAAGTAGGAAAAACACCAGGAAGCAAAGAGGTGTTATCAGCTGCAGTCTGCTGATGTTAACAGACAGATCTCTTTGCCAGGTATAAAACAGTTATTCCAGAGAGCAAACAGCCAAATTCTGGTGGCAAAGGAAATTTCTATATATTCCATATGTGCCCACAGAGCACGACTGAGAGCAAACGCAAAATGGCAGATGCACTTTCTTACGTTCCTTTTTAAACACTTGCTCTGACCCACAGGTTCATTAAACAAGCCATATTATCACCAAAAAAAAGGGAAGACACACTCGATATTTTGCTTTTGAGAAGCTTAAATAACAGCACAGCACGTCTTACAGCTGGCCAAAATAAGAAGCTACTTAATAAAGTATCTGTTAAAAACTAATACGCAAATTGCATCAAAGGATACAAGAAGCTGAGCAAGATGTCTTGCTTTCCTTCAGAAGTTAAGTACTGACTAGAGGCACTCCCACTTCAGGTTAACAGTCTTCAAACAATTATCCGTTCATATAACTAAGGTAATTTTTTTTAGTTAGTTATTAATGATTACACTTAAAATATCACAGCTGCCCATAACTTTGGATTTTGGATTGCTGTGTCAAGACCAAATTCTCCTAGAACGCTGCACGTGGCTCAACACAAACCCTTAAAACGTGTAAATTCTGTTTCTCACACGCACAGTTTAGTTTAGTTTGTCAAAGGCAAAAATTAATTTATTCAGAGGCAAACAGCTTAATGTAAAGAACGGTCTCAAGTGACAAAAACTCTGAACCTTCCAACTTTAGGGCAAAGCACCTTCACACCGCAAGATATTCTCACAGAAGCCTGCGTACTTTTAGTCTCTCTCTTTCC